AGGAGCAATATATCTACAATTTTTTTATTAATGAAGTGATGTTTCATAATACATAGATATAATAAGTAACAGTTTTAATAATAAAATATAAAAGTATAAAGATTAAATTATCTTAGTACTTGTTAAAATTTTAAACTTAAAATAATATTTTACTTAATATTCAAATAAACAATTCATACTTGTGTATGTGTGTCAATATTTCATAGTTGTAACATTAAAATTTAATGTACATTTTGGTCCAATAAATTTAAAAGAAAGAGCCCAATTTTTTATTTTCTTAACTTATTTCTTTTTTGATTTCACTTAGTTCATTTTCTACTTACTTTTATATAATTCATGTCTAACTTATGGCCCATCACTTATTAACGACCCAAAAATCTGATCCAAATGAAATATGTCGGAACGCCTTGCAACAACAAAAACTAACGAGAGACGTAAAAAATATGAACTCTAAACAAGATTGAATTGTAAAAATCTATATTAAAAAAGCAATCCTATTTAATAGCAAAATCAATCAGCAAGTAATTAACAGAATAATAACATAAATGTAGCATCAATAAAGACACGATGCAGACAGTTAAAAAAACATGAAATATTATAATACAAAGATAGGAGAACGGCTGCAAAAAACATAATGTATTGCAACGCAAGAAAAAAAGATTGAAGAAAAATATGGAGTAGTACAAACAATCATGATAGAACAAGAAGCTTATAAATACAAGCTACAATGAATAAAAAAACACATAATACAACCACAAACGACTCAACTTGCTGTAATTTAACACCATCAAAAAACAAAGCCAGCAGTACTATATATAGTACTTACATTAACTTCAACAAACTTGAAATCAAATATGAAGCGGAGATCAGAGGAGAAAGAGATAAAACTCAAAAGTAGGGGTGTCTGTGTGTATATATCTGAATTTGATATTTCCGGAAATTGAAAGAGGAGATAAATTGACAATTTGGCCATTATCAGAGAAGTTCGTAGGGAACTGAGGTTGTTGTTGATGACCAGATAAGTTGTCATTGGGAAAGACCAGGACTTCCTGATCATGAGTTGCACTTAAATTCTCCAATTCTTTCTGGTAATCTTTGTCCTGAAACTTGGAGTACATTTCTGAGAAAGAAGGCTTAAGCTTTTGATCAGAGAGTGCAAAATGTGTGAATAAAATTGGTTTGGACATATGTATGGATATAAGCATATAGGTCGAAGGTTTTGCGTCGGCTTGGCATAATGGCATGAACAGTCCACATAGTTTGCAATATCTCGTAGCTATTAAACCATTCCATGTCGAGATATACTGTATGTATTAAATAATTAAGAAGATAACTCCTGAGTCACAGCGTCGACTGAATTGAACAAGAAAATTATTCGTCAAGAATCATATATCATACCCAAGACTTCTTTTCCATATGCATGTCAATTGCCAAGGTGCAAGCAGGAGGTCCACGTTTTCCATTTAGCCCATCGTTTGCTAGGCTAAAGAGACTAACTGCTCCTACTGGGCTTCTATCCTATTATTTTATCTTTTAGACACTGGGCTTTATTGCTGGGCCTTTAGTGTATCTAGTTAGAAGAAGGGTCGGGAACTTCGCATGAAATTGTTAAAGAGGAAAACTAACAATAAAAGGGAACTTGGGAAGGTATTTAGTTTTTTTAGGAATCACAAGAAGAAGGTTTTGACGATGGCCCAACTAATTCATCGTAAACGAAAAATACATTTGCCCCCATGCAGGATCGAACTACAGACCTTCAGTTTACAAGACTGACGCTCTACCACTGAGCTATAGGGGCTTTTTGAAAGACCGTTTTATACTTTTTATTTTAGACTATATATGACGTGTATGACTAACTAAACAACCAAAAACATACATTTTTCTGCCCAGAAAGAAAAGACCAGACAAACATTGTGACGAAATTGACACATTATTGGTTGAAACAAGTTAGTTTGTATGCCTTATTTATCCGCTACTATAAATCTAGAGAGAAATTAAAAATGTGTAGAAACATTTTGACAAAGTTTAATTTTGCCATTAAAAAAGAAATCTCGTTGGGAGAAACATGCCTTACCCTTGAATATTCTAGAATTTGCCCCTGATACACATCATAGAAAATTTCTTTCAGATTTCTTTCGTCTTATGGTATTGAATAACTAAAGTCTGTATCAAATTAAATTGAATATAGAACACAAGATTCCGTAAGTCAGAAGGATATAACTAGATTAAGTAAAAAAAAAAATTGATGCAAGTGATGAAGAGATACATGAACAACACCCTTTCCTTTCTCTCATCAGATGGATAGAAATATCAAATTTGACCCGGTCCCCCACCGTCCAAGCACACGCATGCATGGTAGATAATAAGATCCACACACACATATATATATTTGTCATGTTCATGTGTCACAATTAATATTGGAACATGAATGTAAGAATTTCCACACTAACAATCTTAATCCATAAGCCACCTTAATTTAGCAATATTCAGACTCAAAAATAGGCAAATGCAGAATGCATCGCATCACTAATTATAGAAATTGTCGAGTACCCACAAATCACGAAGGAAATCTCTATCCTTTATTAATTGTACTATCTGTATCTTTACTACGTATAAATAGATAAATACACTCCCTCTTAGACCTTAGCTTCGATTATTGATCCTCAACGTACGTACTATCTTCTTTTTCTATCTTTTTTACCCTCTTGAACGCATTGATCCCAAGCCACCCACTATCTTTCTCTACCCTAACATACAAAGGGATCCACTTCCACTTTGTACCCTTTTACTTTTAATTAAATTTCTTTACCTTTATAATTACGAGTACGTTAACCTTTTTTTTTTTTCCCTTATGCTTCGGTAGACTAAAGATGTATATCGTTTCCATTTTCTTATATAGTCCCGTCAGAGATGTTTATCATTGACGGAAGTAGTTGGAAATTCAAAAAAAAAAAAGTGGTTGGAAATTCACGAATCATTGTCTTCTTCTAGCTAAATCCATTAGAAATGGTGAAAAATAAAATTGAATTTGTATATCATGCTTTCACTTATAGATCGCGTGTTCAATCATTTTCTTAATTAACCATGCATTGTTGTAAATTAATTATTAATATTAAACTGATACTCCAATAAAATTGTACCAGCTAGCGAGTACTGCTGTTGGACTCGTACAAAAATAATTTATTTTTAATTCCGCAGTGACAAGATTCTCGATCTCTTTCCATGGATTTCTTTGTTTCGCCAAATTCATTAATTTTAAATTAAAGATTTAGAAAACGAAAGGCTGCAGCCTACAGGATTCCGTAAAGGGATTCACGGGAAAGTTTCCTCGTTAACTTCGATCGGATTGATGAATTTGGGAGAAATTAAGTTTTATTAGAAGGAATTTAAAAGGGCAACGCATGCGTTATTTGAAGCATTATCTCACATATCATAAGTATTAAGATTAGCAAATCAATGTCATCGGTGGATTAAGTAATTTCTAAAGCAACCTTTTTTAATTTCTCTGTCATATTAATTTCTACCAAATTCATCAATCCAAATCTTGCAGCTCTTGTTGTCCGAGTCTTTAATTAATTTTTATGACTTTCGGAAACAAAAAAGAAATTAAGAAACTTGATTTTAGGCATAGTTTAGTCATTAAAGATATATTTATTCTTAATTATTAGAAAATAAAGAGATCAGAAAAATTTATTCTTTCTGAGATTGACGTGAAAAATATTTTTAAAAAATTATTAGAAAATTTTAATTTCAATTAATATATAAGTTACTTAAAAATATATTTTAATAGAGAAAAGAAACCTCTAAATTAAATAATGTAAATAATACATTAGTTTATAAGAAATCCAACAGCACTCACTGTTAGAATTTTTCATCAGATTCATTAACAGTGGCAACCTAGCTCTAATTAATAATGGTTGTGTGTACTATCAAATAACATATTTTGTCCAGTCAATCACGTTTCTTGGAAAGAGAATCTAGAGAAAAATTAACCTATGAAAATGGTAGAAATCATTTGGAAAGAGAAACAAAGCAAGATTCATTTTTGAGTTGCCTTTCTTATTACTCTTGTTTGAGCCTTCAAAAGCTCTGTATGTCACTTTCATGATTCAGTTAAAATTAGAAGGAGTTGTTGAATTGTAAAATTCACTTCGAATGGAATTTGTGAAGCCATTGACTACTCTTTTCGCACAAGTCTGCCATTGCACAGTTGGTGGGATGGAAAAGGAGATCCCACTTTCTACATCTTAATGTGGCTTCTTTATGAGTTTTGCTTTAGTGGGAGGCTGCCGTAATGTGGCTTCTTTATTTTCGGATGATTAAAAGCAAAAATAAATAAATAATTTTTTTTACTGTATTTTTTTTTTTTATATCAATTCGTTATGTTCCAAGGAATGAATTCTTTTACCTTAAAACGTAAAACAAGAAATACCAAACATCTTTATCCACAAATTAAGCGTAACTAAAAGAAAAATAACTTTCAAATATAATTGTGTTCATCAAAAGTTTTGAAATATCTCACAATTGGTATTTTGTTGTACTGCTAGATAGAGTCCTTTAAGTGGGACATTTACTTAATGCCTTCCGTCTTTAGTAGCTCTCACTCTATTCTTTCTTTCTTTCTTTTTTCTTTTTTTTTTTTTATGAAGCCTTTTCAGTCTATTCATATTTCATAACCCATAGCACGTCACACATCTGAAATGACCAACCCCATCGCAAAAAAATTCCATTCCATTTATTAGTATATAAAGGCAAGAGCATGAGGAGAAAGAAACTGCAATTGAAGTTCATTTTTGAATTCTCTCTAGGTTAGGAGATAGCTTGAACCCTGCCATAGTGGTCTATAAATTTCTGACACTTCTCTGTAGTTGCACTTCAGTTCTGGTACTCGAATGCACTGACCCTAGACCAAAACCCCCCTCTCCCTCCCTCCCTCCCTCTCTCTCTCTCTCTCTCTCTCTAGCTCAATACGTACCCCAATATTATATTATCTAAAAATTATGAGAGCATCAATGCTCAGTGTTACAAAGAGGATGTGCAATTCTGGTGAAGAGGAAAGTGAACTAAGAAGAGGTCCATGGACTCTTGAAGAAGACACTTTGCTCACTCATTACATCACTCGTCATGGTGAAGGTCGTTGGAACATGTTGGCAAAATGTGCAGGTAAATCAAAGACCTCATGACGAGGCATGTGTCAACTCCAAAAGGTTAAATGGACTAACTTCTTAATTTGTTTTGGTTGCCCTATTAATCACGCTCTAACTTTCCAGGACTGAAGAGAACTGGAAAGAGTTGCAGGTTAAGATGGCTGAATTACCTAAAACCTGATATCAAGCGTGGCAATCTTACTCCACAAGAACAGCTTCTGATTCTTGAACTGCACTCCAAGTGGGGTAACAGGTATGCAATCTCGTCATCATATTCAAGCCTAATTAAGGTTGCTGTTAAATCTTATGTGTTATTGTCTTGCACTCCTAATCCTAATAATTTTAACTTCTTTTGAAAATTTTAGGTGGTCAAAGATTGCACAACATCTGCCTGGAAGAACAGACAACGAAATCAAGAATTATTGGAGGACAAAGGTGCAGAAAGAGGCACGCCAACTCAACATCGAAGCTAATAGTAAGATGTTCCTTGATGCTGTTAGGAGTTTTTGGATGCCGAGATTGCTTCAAAAAATGGAACAGGCTTCATACTCTTCTTCCTTGACAACACTTGATTCACAAGCTGGTCATGAAGTCAGGCCTCCACCATCCAATTCCACAGTTCCTAGTTCATTGTCAACATTATTGTGTCCTCCAGAAAGCAAATTGGCACACTACTCAAATCCTGATGGGAGTGAAAATTCAAGTTCAGTCGCAAGCCCTTATGTTCTTTCTACAAATTCAAACACAACCACACTGCAGCCTGAAATTCTTGAAAACCCAACTTATTCCCCTCTACATGGTGATCCAGTATACAACAACTTAATTTGGAGTGACACTTGCTGTGAGGAGGGCAGTAGCTATGACATGGATGGATTCAATCAGGCTTCTGCTGGAATGGGCACTTACGAAAATTCACCATTGGAATGCCAGATGGCAGAAGGCAATTGGGTGTTTGATAGCATGGAAGATAGTTTATGGAATATGGATGACATGTGGCAGTTTAGGGACTTGAGAGACACAGGCATCTAGGGCGGCCCCTGTTCTTTGTTTAGTGTCCTTTCTATTAATCATCTTGACCACGACTTTATACTCATCTACATTGGGTATATAATAGTCAATATATAGTTGTACGAGGATGTATTAATTTTACCCGTCATCTGTATAAGTATTAATTTTACCCGTCATCTGTATCAACTTTCATGTTTCTGTTCAAGGATCAGTAAATGTTTTAGTTATGGTGATTTTAGACTTCAATTGCTTTGTTTTGATGAATATAGCATGTAATTTTTTTTTCTTTTTATGACTATTTGGTATTTTTTTATGTTTGTGATTTAAAAATAGTGTTTAGTTAACATTAATTTGTTTTCTTTGAAGGCAAAACGATTGTAACTTTTAAATCAAACTGTTTTACTTTTGAAATGAAATAGGAGATATCTAGCCTATTGTGACACGTACTCTTTTTTTTTACTAATTAAAATAATAATTTTTCATGTTACACACACACACACACACACACACACACACACACACACACATATATATATATATATATATATATATATATATATATATATTATTTCCTTCACTCTATTTCAAAGTTTTTTTTCATCATTTTTTTTCAAATAATTATCAATAATTATTATATAACAAATGTTAATCAATGATATATTGGTATTTTTTAAAAAAATGATGAGAATAGCAATTTAATTGATGAATTCAGTAATACTCTTTTTTAACTATTGATTTTATTGAGAATTTATGAATGAAAATATGTGTACATGCATATCATGTCCTATTTAAATCTTCTTCTTATTTATTTTTTTGAATTTAAGTATTTAAAAAAATACATATATGCATACATGTAACATTTAAGGTGGAATAATTCATATATAAATTGCTTAATTTAAAACCATCAAGGAATATGGTCTAAAGATAAGAGAATTTTTAGATTTAATCAAAAGTAATGTTCAATTCTTACAACTCATGCATGATTAATTATAATTATTCCTTAATAATATTATGTTTGGATTTAATAGTCGAATAAAAACTATAAATATTTCGATGCTTAATCTTAACTGATGCGAAAAGCTACCCCACTACTTTTATATAATAATAAAATTTAATCAACCAATGTTTAGTTATTTTAAACACTTGCAATTTAATTAAGTGATTTGTTTTTTTAGCGGCAATCCATTTATTCTACAGTAAATTTTTATACACCGTGGTCGACGCTGAAAGTGATGAATTGTTGAGAAATGTTTTGTGGATGCCTACTTCACCTCCTTTATGTGACTGAATTCTTAGCACTTGTATATCAAATCATTTACTCAATAACCTTCAATGCCAACGGAAAGAAGAGAAGCCTATAAAGGTGAGTAAACTATGAATTTGATGAAATGATGGGTAGAAGTGACAACACATAGGATGAGATGAGAGGTGTAGTCACATCCCAATAACGTTCCAGCTAGGGGCCGCTTGGGAATACGAAAGAGAGGGTGGGGCTAAATTAGCAGTGGATGCCAAAAAGCACCAAAACAATGAATTTTCCTACATAGATAGTACTGCTCTCCCACAAAATTATTGGCAATCATCTGAAGAGGTGGTGGCTTTTCTAATAAAAAGTAATTGAGCGAGCAGGGTTGGTTCTTCCGCGTAATTTCAACATAAAGTTACGGGTTAATACTTCATTACCTCTTTATATATGTTTTTGTAAAGTATTTAAGTCTCTAATATCTTTTTTTATAAAAATTTTCTACCATAAATAAATTTTTAATTAAAATAATCTTAATTAAAATGTAAAAAAAAATAATAATAATAAAGTCACGTCACCTACAAGTTCTATATTTGAAGTTTTTTTAAAAAAGAATTTAGAAAATTTTTGATCTAAATGTTCCTTATTAAAATGACAAAAAAAAATTATTTACAACCACGTGACTTGCATATTCCTTATTTGAAGCTTTTAATTAATTAATTTATTTATTTATTTTACATTTTAGTAAGCATTTTGGTTAAATATTTTACCATGATTGAAAATTTAAATATTATTTTAAAATATGATAGATACAATTACACATGTAAGAATAGATTAGAAGTTTAGACTATTATATAAAGATACATTAACTTATTTACCATAAAATTAATGGCAATAACACTTACCTATGATGAAAGTATCTATGTACCACATTGAATTATTATAATAAAAGAAATTCAAAGAAAAATGAAAATAGGAGCAAAACATATCTTTTAACTAATTTTAATTAATCTTGAAGCATGTGTATTAGTGCATATATGCGCCACACTTTAACAAGATGATATGCACCAACCAATTACAACATCGTACTCTTAATTTCCACGATAAGAAAGGTATAATTAATTCATATAATTTCAAATCTTAGGTGACGCTCAAAATTACATTCATAAAAAAATAAAAATAAATTATTTATATGATTGTAATCATGGCAATTGTCGTAATATTCTAATTAAAGACAATCCAACCTAAAACTTGTCTTAATTTGAATGATTCTAACATATTGCTAATGACCACTATGATCAAGTAAGGCTTACGGAATCAATGCAAATGAATAACCCGAATAGAAAAGACTTTTTTTATCATTTGATAGACAAAAAAGACATTCATTTAACAAAGGTTTGGCTTTTTAGATTATCCATGTCACATCATCACTAACTATGACTACATATGTACCATTAGACAACGACTATCATTTGGAAAGATCTTAAACCCTTAAGTGGATGATATGAACTATTGAGCATAAGAGAAAAGATCATTATGCCTCTTACTCCATGCAAGTTGATCATGTTTTCTCCTATATAAAGATAACATGGATGACAACTTTATACATGCGGACCGATTGATGCCCGCATACGTCTTTCTCTCTTAGACCTTCTACTTACGAGGTCCATAAGCTTGTGTTTGGAAGGGCTATATGTAACGTCCTAAAACTTTCCCTACGTGTGTGCATTTACGTAAAATATTTATCGGTTATAAAAAAAATATATCATTTAAGAGTTAGAGGGGTACACGGGCAATGGCCCTAAGCATGTTCTAGTGGGCATTTTGCACATGCTTGTGTGTGTGTTTCTATGAAGAAATACACACATTCCAAGAAAAGGAAAGAACAAGGGTAGATGGCCTTTAACATGGTTTAGAGAGCATTTTGTACATGCAAGTGTGTGTTTATATACGGAAACATCCATCCAAAGAAAAAAGATACACATAGGCGGTGTCATGTGACACGGTTTGAAAGGCAAATTCAGCACGCTCGTGTGTATCATAAAAAAGGAAAGCCATTTCAAAGGAAAAAAAAAAAAAGACACATAGGCGAGTGTTTATATGACACCTGTTTGAGAGGCAATTCTACAAACTCGTGTGTGTATGTGTGAGTCAAGGAAAAATTGCCAAAATAAAATTTTCATATTTGATATATATACTTGGTTTGACTCATCCATTTTTATCTTCTATCTTTAATACTATGGATACTAGTAAATTTAATGTAAAATGAACCTTTTTTAATTCCTTCTCATGTCATATTTACATCATTTGGGAACATATACAATCAAAAATTTCCATTACAATACAAATGCTTGTCATGATGAGAGAGAGGAGAAAGAGATCGCTAGCTAACCTATCGTTCATAATAGTCGATGAGCAGCGAAATGAGATGAACTTTATCTTCGTGCCTTTTGGATACCTAAAACAAAATTATATTTTTAATAAGATGCTAATCGATAAGGGATAATCATCATTGATATCATAGCATACATTCATATCACCAATTAAAAGCATATAATCAAGTCATACTATTTTATGCATCATCATGTTACATGTACCATTTTCTTATCGGTTATGGCCTAAACACGTCAAGTATCACCTCGAGAACTTGTAACTTGAAACTTGTATTGCTGGCCAGCTCTTATAGCTTGTATTTGACATGTTAAGTCCTTATAACTTGTATTTGAAAATACTTGGATGTGTCGATCGTAACCTTACCCCTTCAATCCTATATACATCATGAATGTCTCATATATCACATACTTATACATATCATCATACAAAAATCATATTATGAATCATACATAACATCAATTTATCATAACAATCTAAAACAAGTCATCAATATCAAGTAATACACAAAAAAGCATGGCATCAAACCATCAATAGATATCTTAAATATATCCACTCACAAAAATGGAGTATTATGATGTTTTTCAACGCGTCGCGTTTTGTATCTCATGACCCTCGAGATCTAAAACATATATATATATATATATATATATATATATATATATATATATATTCATTTTATCATTTATGAGCTTCAAAAACTTTTAAAATGTGAAAAATAAGAAACTTGGTCAACCTAATCCCTTTAGTAGTGGTAGCACTTTTCTTTAATCTTTTAGCCCTAGTTCATAACATATAAATCCAAAGGACCTGATTCTAGTTTTGTACAAGACTAGAATCATAATACTATAACATATCCAAAAATTAGCCCTAAATTCCAAACACATAATTTATGGCAATTTTATGAAATTAGCTTAGGTTATAGAATTTTCTACCTAGAACATAATACCTAGATGGCAAAAGCATAGTAGAAAATATACTTGTTCATTTTAACTCAAATTTAGGAGGTTACTAAATCAAATCATAATCTATAATTTTCATGTTTTGATAAGACTTAGATTCTAAACCTAAAATGTCGATGTTGCAATTCAATATCGGGAGAAAAATTAAAACTTAACAAAAATTACAAAATGCCTCACCTCTCTTCAATATTGCTCAAGAACTTGACTCAATTTCTCTTAATCTCAAGTTAACCCTCTCTAAATCAACTTTTACACTTGATTTCTTCTCATCATAGGATGGCTTTATATTGGTTTTGGTTGCTAAACTAGGTTTCCCACATGATTCCTCACTTGTTTTTGATTTTTCACTCTTCTCTTGCCTTTCTCTTCAACTATCAAGAAACAACTCAAGCTCTCATTCTCTCTCTTTCTCTCTTAAGAGTGGT